CACTGCCCAGATTACTTCCCCTACGTATAGCACGAGAACTCCTATACAGAATTTATCCTCTTCGGCTAGGGCGACCCTTTACGAGAGAAGCCTAATTACCCCTGAACCACGCTTCCAGGCCTTATCGGGGACGACAAATTAGATCCGGCAGCGCCAGATCCAACAGCGATCGATTCAGCGCCAATTTATTGGTGGGAGAAGCTCCGGAGGTGGCCGCCTCGGCCGAGGGCGACTTCAAGTCCCTACAGCGCCAGCGACAGTCTCATTAATCGTCCACTGCTATCTCTATTGGTGCTTAGCATCGGGAAAGCCAGATAGGCTTGAAAAGCTAAGTATGGAGAGATCCCGCAGCTAAGAGAGATATACTAACTTGTCTCGTTATGAGTAGCTACAGTTACTCCAATCCTTACGCCGGGTACTATTAGTAGCTTCGTCGATTTCATCGAAAACGAGCTTCTAGTAGAGCTCGACCCTGAGGATTACACACGTGAGGAGGGAGATACATTTCGATTTGCAACTGCAGTTAAAAATAAAAAGGAGCCTTGGTTCCTAGGCATGCGGGAAGATCATGAACAGCTTCCTCACAGACTTCTGTACGAAATTTACCAAGATCAAGGATAGTTATGAGGTCTTCCTGATTATCAAGAGGAAAAGACCGGAACCGGTGACGATAAAGCTTGAAGCTGAAGCTCCTGTGGCAGCAGGAGCTCCAGCGCCATCTCCTCCGCCGTCAGAGGCATCTATCCCATCATCTCTCCCATCACTAGGAGCAATTATCAGGTCATTATCACCGCAGAGAGCTGTGGAGGCCACTCCGCCACCAGCACCACCGGCACCGCTGCCGCAGCGGCGAAAGCGAGCTCGTGTGCCGCCAGGGATCTCTCCACCACGTACCCGGCGGAGATACCAGCTGCGAGAGTCGGATATGGAGAGAATGACTGAGTCAGGGCCTGTTTCGGAGATCTGGAGGGCAAGCAGGGGGTAATTAGCATAAGACAGAGATGGCGGAGTGGAAGGACTTGGAGAGTATATGTCATTTCGCGTTATTTTTCGATTTTGAGACTCAATCAACTTCAATTTGCGTGTCTTGACTAGTCAGAAAGAGGAGACAGGTGCTTGTTTAGCGAAAACATGTTATTTGGAAGAATTCAGCTTGTTTTAGTGCCTTATAGGCAGGGAAGGGTAGGAAGACGAGTTGGCCGACGTTAGGTCTATTTGTGAGCGCTGGATAGACTAAAGCCTAATTGGGCATAGACGACGTTACTTCGTATTACGCTAGGTTTAATAAGGCTAGACTGGTACCAGCATAACTATTCTCACTACCTCTAAGTCGGCCAAGCGGGAATTCTGCCCGACAAAAGCCACCATTTGTCATTCTTGCACTCGTGATCCCTATTAACCTCCGTAACGCGCGGAGAGCCGAGAGCTCAGACATAGCTGAATCGGGCTTCACAGGTGGGGAACTACCCGCGCCCAGCAGGCGTTCCGTAAGCCAAGTGCAGATCGACGGGGCAGTGGCTGGCCAGGGCTGCACTCCGATAATAGCGCAGCTACGGGTGTACGAGCGCTGCGCAGAGCGATAGCCTCTTCTGGTTCCCTCGGCAAGGCCATTCCAGACCAACTTTGCATGGCCAGCATTCACGAAAATAGGCTGTCGAGAGAACCAGGCTGGCGGAGCAAGGGAAAGGAGCTCGTCCACTGTGGGCAAATATCAGCGATGATCCTATAATCGGAACGGGACAGTGCATCAGCTAGTAGGTTCTCCGATGAAGGAAGCCAGTGTGGCTGGACTTCGATGTCAAGGGCGGCTGCTATGCTGAAAAGCATGAGCAGAGAGCGATGAGCCGGCCCACGGAGTGCCTGCTTAGACAGGCCATGAAACGCGACGGCGCTGTCCGTGAAAGCGAGGACACGATGATGAGCCCAATGGGGGCTGTGTATGAGGAAGGCCTGCAGGATCGCAGAGACCTCCTTAATGTTAATGTGGGCCACGTCGCCGCAGGCGGAGGAGGCGTCCACAATAGCCGCATGGGTGGAAGGCAGGTGAGGCGCTGCAGACATCCAGTCCCTGGCGGAGTCCCATGAGGGCGCATAGAAGAAGAAGAGGCCCAGACCTGAGTCGCACGCGTCTGTGTAGAGGGCAACTAGGGGGCGGCTCTTCTCGAAGAAATGGATGCCGTTAAATAACGGGAGAGTGTCCCTCCACCACGCGAGATCCCCGCGGCTATCATGGGATAGGCGGCGGACGGAGCGCTGGTGAGGCGGGAAGGATGCGAGATCGCTGTAGAGCGACTGAAGGCGGGCTCTGCCGAGACGGATAACTATTGAGCAGTGTTGGAGGAAACCGACTACACGTTGCAAAGCTTTATGCGAGACACGATCTAGCTGTAGTAGCGACGCGGCTTCGGAAGATGCGCGTGCTAGCTTATCGCGAGGCATACGGGCCTGCAGAAGTGTCGTGTCGATTTTGACCCCAAGGACACTGACCACGGTACCCGCGGCGTCTTTCGAGTCATTCCATGGGATGCCTAACGCATCCGTGAGAGGAATATATGCGCTATTGAAAGCGGTAAGGGCTTTAGAGAGACCTCCCACGGAGGAAGGAAAAATAACGATGAAATCGTCAAGGTAATGAGCGATAGAGGCCAACGGCAAGTAAGCGGTTAGGAGCCGGTTAAGGCCCTCAGCAAAAAGGTTAAAGATGAAGGGTGCCGTTGAAAGGCCGAATGGGAGGCAGCACTCCATGTATGTCTTGCTATCCCATGAGAAGGCTAGGAGGGGCCGGTCAGCGGGGGCGACTGGGATATTACGGAAGGCATCCTTGATGTCGCGTTTGATGATATAGCATCCTCGTCCAGACGTGCGTATGAGATCGAAGATGTTATCCATAGATATGTATTGTATAGTAGAAGCAGCGTCGGGGATGGACTCGTTGACACTGCGACCCGGCGGGTAGGAAAGATCATGGATACGGCGCCAGCTCCCGTCGTGTTTAGGCACCAGCCCTAGTGGGGAAACAACGACGGGGCCAGTAGATGGTTGCACCCGACGACATAATAGGTCATCAGAGAGCTTCTGGGTGATAAGAGAGTGTTCCTCGATGCGGTGATTAGGAGTTCGACGGTATCTTGGCTGGATCGTACAACCGAGGCGGCAGCCGAATGTAAGGATGCCGCTGCAGATAGTCCCTAGGTTGCCAGGATAGCGTTCGAGGAGGGTTTTCCACGCCGAAGCAATGAAGGGAGAAGCGGAATCACGCAGAGGCGGGAGGGAAGGGTCGAAGACCTCAAACTGAATAGAAGTGTTGGGACGCGGGGCTGGCCAGCTAGTTGGTGGCGACAGGGTTTGACCTATACCAGGGCCGACCCCGGCGTGCTCCTAACTCACTGGTTTTACTTTGCAGCTTGTCACGGAATGGTCGTTGCCGCACTTAGAGCAGACGTGTCTTCGGTGGCATGTTCGCCAGTGGCAGCCAGCAGAAGAGTTGAATTTTTCACAAATGACAGTGTCATTATTTGGCGCAGCGGTAGAGCGCGTTGACCGTGTGGTTGGGGTAGCCGGCGCTGTCTTTGCTGGGAGCACGTTGTCCGGGCGAAGGTAGGAGCTTTCGAGGGCTTTCCCAATTTCCCAATCGCTAAGAGAAACGGTGAGGTCGCCTTTATCGACGACCATCTGGTGGTGGTCCAGGGCCATTTGCAGGATACAGTCCTGCCATTTATATGCCCTAGCAAGGTCACAAATGCGGCGGTGGAAGAGAACCATTCCACTGATGCATAACGGGTGCTTAGCAGCGAAGAAATCACACCAGACAGCGACGTAATTGCTAAAGCAATGGGCCCAGAGGGATGCGTCATTTCCCCAGTCCTTAATTGAGACTACCTTGCGGAATTGCAGGCCAGATGATGTGGATTTTAAGTCGAAAGACTCGCCATCCGGTGCCGAGGCTTTGAACTCAGGGCTACGGAGTTTTATGAGGTCCTTCTTTGGTCGGAAGGTGTGCTCGAAAACGGCTATAATAGCAGCACGGTCGAGGCCGGGGAAACGGGGAAGGACTGGCAAAACAAGAGACGGGACCCTACCGTCGTCAGCATCCTCTTCCGCAGTGAGGTCTAAACGTGGGCGCTTGCGCTGCCCGTCGCCCGCAACAAGGGACGCGGACACAGTAGAGATGAATGAGTCCTGCTGGGAGTCGGAGAGGGAATTCCATATGTACTCTGGTGGATAGATCGAGGAGCCCAGGGTGGTCTGTCCCCCAGGGGTTAGACTGGGGGCCGCCGAACTATGACGCACCATTGTAAAAGGAACTATTGAAGAAACCGTCGCGGAGAGAGCCCGGCTCTCCCTCGAAACGGCGATGTTCTTTTCGAGGGAGGGGAAGGCCAGGCGATATTTGTGTGCGATGTCCAGCACGGGATATCGTGGGCCCGACGCAAGGGGCTCTCACGCAACAGTCCCGAATAGAACCTATCATCTGCAGGAAAGTGAGAGCCTTTTCAAACCAAGGCACCCTAATCGTCAGACAAAGGGGTCGTCTCAGTTGGTTGTGCTTAGTTCATGTTGAGTACCCGGCACATGGTCATTGTTCGATTCAGAGATGCTGGGGAGCATATCCTGGCCAAGCATACCCGCGCCGCCCTGATCGGGCCAGTCTGCCTGGATCATTCCGGAGCCTGGCAAATAGGATGCCAGTCGTCTGTTCTGGAAGGTGTCGATCGTGCTCCAGAATCGAGTGGTCGCGGAAACCAGCTCTGCGTGTGCCTGATCCAACACACTGCGGACGAAGCCGGGGATCGCCTATCGCTCTAATGAAAGAGAGTTTAATTTAATCAGAACGTAACGATGTCATATTGTGGCTAAAGAAAGCTTCTCTAGATGTGCATGCGCAGGAGAGTAAAGATGCAATCGTGAAGTGGCAGTAAACTCCCTTTATGTATAGGGAATATGGTTCCCGTTCAATAATGGGTAAAGGCTGTTCAAAGCCACCTTCGACAGTATCCAGGATGTCTAGGTCATCTTTCAAGGAACCACTTTCGGCTACAAGGAATGGGAAGGTCCGCTGGTCTCGGTTTCCGGAACATCCATCACCGTCAAGGGAGCCTCCGGAGCCACACTCAACGGAGATGGTGCCCGCTGGTGGGATGGAAAGGGAACTAACGGCGGCAAGAAGAAGCCTAAGTTCTTCTACGGCCCACAAGCTGACCAACTCCATCATTGAGAACATCTACATCAAAAACTCCCCTGTGCAGGTCTTCAGCATCAACGGTGCTACAGAACTCAGTCTCAGCGGAATCACTGTTGACAACGCCGATGGCGATAGCAAGGGTGGCCACAAAACCGACGCTTTCGACGTTGGTTCCCGCAACGGTGTCTACATCACCAACCCAACTGTCCACAATCAGGATGACTGCCCGGCCGTCAACTCCGGCACTGTATGTATAGCTTAGCGGCTTATTTTGATGGACCATCTGTTAATTCCTTCTAGAACGTCCACTTCACCGGCGCTAAGTGTACTGGTGGCCACGGTATCTCTATCGGCTCTGTCGGTGGACGGTCAACGGTGTCACCATCCAGAACTGCAACATCAAGGACTCCCAGAATGGTACATAAAGATATCAACGAAACTATACAGTAACAATTCCTGTATCTAACATTCAAGCGTTACAGGTGTCCGCATCAAGACCGTCTACGGTGCCACCAGCTCCGTCAAGGGTGTCACCTACAAGGACATCACCCTCTCCGGAATTACCAAGTACGGCGTTGTCATCGAGCAGGACTACCAGAATGGCAGCCCTACTGGTACCCCCACCAACGGTGTCCCTATCACTGGTCTGACCATGAGCAACGTCAAGGGAACTGTCTCCAGCAGCGCTACTGACGTCTACATCCTTTGTGCTTCCGGTGCTTGCTCCAACTGGTCTTGGAGTGGCGTCAGTGTTACTGGGGGTAAGACTAGTAGCAAGTTCAAGAACATCCCTAGCGGTGCTAGCTGCTAAATGATTTTTGAACCAGACTGATTTGTGTTGGTGGGCTTCCTTGTCTAACTTGTGACCCAGTCTTATATATTATATTGCCTCCCGGGGAGGATCCGATTTTTTATACCTTAAAACCAAATCACGAATACGTCATTTAACTAAAGTTTTCTCGCTTTCTAGTAGGATTGAACGGAGATAGAATGTGTAAGTAAAATTCAACCGCTATATTGCATGATCGAATGGCAAATTATCCCAAACTATATCTTCCTTCGTAGGGTAATCTATCACCCAACCATCCAAACCAACGAGATTGAGATCTCAAACAACAAAACCAAGAAATCAAGTTGTATCTCAAGTAGCCTCAAAGCCATTGAAACGGCTCCAATCGGCTCTCAAAGGCTGTCGAATCCTCCCATCCCGCACAGCGTCATATAGGATCGAAATCCACGACCCAACTGTTTTCCGCGGACGCGGAGGAACATCTGCCGCGGCTTCAGTATCACAAGTTGGATGTTCTCCAATGCCGCAGTGAAAAGGGACGTCCAAATCCCGTCGGACAAAGCAGTAGAGAGCTTGAGCAGCAGGTCCTAGGGAAGACTTCGCGTTGAGCTCGCCGGAGAATGACTGTGCTCGCAGTGCTACAAATGATGACCGTGCCCTCTGGCAAATCTCCTGCCGCAAGGACTCAATTGCCGTGAAAGGATCCTCTGCATTTAGTTCTTTGGCGTTTGCTAGCAGGACCGGTGCCATGGCCGTGGACAGAGACTGGATCCTGACAGAGAGGTCATCGCGTGCAGATTGCCTCCACGAGCCGCGGAGAGTCTGGATGATCTCAGACCGTATCGCCGCGCTCTTCCCTAGTGGTATATGTACGGATTCAAATGCCAATGGCAGCACATTGCTTAGGCCATTTAGGAAAGTTTCGTGAAGAATGCGTAGATCCACCGCCTGGCATGTCACATATAAAAGAGCCGCACTCATCATAGAGACCAGCTCAACCGCCTGCAGCGTATAGCGCGCTGAGATTAGAGCAAGCGAATTGATGGGCTGATTGTTCATCTCAGCTGACTGTACATGCGATGTCACCGAGTTGGCGAGGAAGCCAAGCTCAGACATATACGCCGCCATGTTGATGTCGACACCCTTCATCGTGAATGACAGACTGGGATCATCTGCCGCGAGATTCGCTGGGAGACCTTTGTTTAGGTCCGGGTTGATGAGCTCGGAAGAGTAGCTGAATAGGAGTTTGCCAATCATCTGGAGGCCTCCACGCGTCTTTTCCATTGCCATAGAGACGGATGCTGCTTGAAAGTTGGAGCAGAAATATACCTCCCCTGACTCGGAGTCTATGACTGGATTATCCTGCGTGGAATTGAGTTCCGTGGTAAGCTGTTGGATGGCTAGTCTTAGGTCCTCGACTACAGGTCCAAGCCACTGCGACGCACCACGGAGGGCATATCGGTCTTGGATCAGTCCCTGGCGTAGGCGATCTTTCGTTCCGGACGTCTCAATCAACTTCGAGTTAATAATTCCGTTGCGGATATTGGCCGCGATCTCAATTTGACCTGGATGAGGTCTAATCTTGGCTGGGAACTCATGGTAATTCTCTGCATTGCCCATCATAGCCTCACACGTCAACGCAGTCAGACCTTGCGCTAATAATACCAACTGACTGGCTTCATGTGCCGCCAAAGATGCAACAGCCGCAGAAGCAGCTGAGCCATTGATCAAACTCAGACCTTCTTTCGGTCTCAAAGTGAAAGGCTGGATCCCAATAATCTCCAGTGCTTTGTCTGCTGACACAATCTCAGGCTCGGGCTGGTGATCCCAGTAAACCTTAATATCGGGGTTTCCTTCCAAGATGCCAACCAGATACGAGAGGGGCATCAGGTCCCCAGATGCAGAAATGGACCCGCGCAATGGAATTATCGGGGTGAGCCGTGCCCGAAGTAATCTCAACACTGTATTGATGATCTCAAGCCGGACACCGGAGTGATCGCGTAGCAGATGGTTGCATCGCACGAGCATCGTCGCTCTCACCCATGTTACTGGCATCGCGTGTGAGGAAAGGTTGTAGTCACCTATGCGCGGAACAAAGTCGCTTCCTGTGAGAATTCCTGACTGGGTCAGCTGGAGGAGCGACTGCTGTAGTCGGATGACATCCGATGTACGGGTATCTGCGCTGCCTCCGAAACCAGTGTTGACACCTAAAAGAAGATATTAATGCGGTTATTCTTTCAGGGAGAGTTTCCATCTGAAAGGTTCTCGTACCATATATGCAGTACCCTTTGTTAAGGTAGTCGTTGAATGTTTCGATTCCCGCCTCGACTCTTATGGAAACCTTAGTATCACTGGATATTTGTGCGGCGCATCCTTCACTAAAATACGGCGTTTCCTGTTAGTCAGTGTAATGCAATATTTTTCTGTGTAGGAAAGTAAATTGAGGTACAACCGTGCAACAGCGACCACACTGGCAATGTCCAGAGTTTCCCCATTGACATCGACGGCTCCTTGTTTAATCAAAGACTCAATTTTAGCCCACGAATGCAGAGTCTCATCCTTATGAGGAACTGGATGTGACAAAACAGAGAGATAGGCGGTATAGGAAACCCCGGAGGTTACGAGGCTTTCAATCATGGTAGCGCGATGTTTCAAATATCCAAGATGTCCAAGGTGTCCAAAATGATAGGACAGGGTTTGATCGAAAATGAAGAAAATGTGAATGTGTGGGCTCTCTTCCCTCTTTCAAATATTCCGAGGTAATTTATAAAGTAGATCTGACCTATCTGCCTTATCTGTTCAAACATACGATCGGATGAATAATTGCAATGCCACCCGAAATAGAACACTCAAATCGAGGGCTCTAGTTATGGTCAATGCGTTTATTGGCTCTCAATTGTCAAAAGGACCGACTAGTGTCCTCATTGGAAAGTTCATGGTGACACCAACCTTCTAATCGTCAGACAACGCAACCGGGCGTGCATGACTGAAGAAGTTTCGCTGAAAAGGCAAAGCATCGACCGAGAGGTGCAGTCCCGTCTCGGCCCGCATGGCGGTTCATACATGTCTGCGTATCAGGGTCTGTACCAGAATGCCTATGATATGGAGTGGAGCACAGACGGTGCTTGAGGTAGCTACAAACAAGTTGAATTAGATACGTTCAACAGCACAATGGATATCTCTGGGACGCACCACTAATTGGAATTTTATTGACGCTGGCCTTCTTTCATTGCCCTCTTCTGTCTTGCCACGAGGCCTCGTTGATTAGACATACGTAGGCAAGCAGCTGCATTACGCAAAAATAGAGTTGATGTGGCCTGTCCGTCATTTCCACCTTACTCGCTTGTTCCAAAGAGGTAGTAGTACAAGTAGTATATCCACATTGGCATTGATCCCAATACTGGCCAGTATCGGCAGCCGTAGTGAACTCAGTGCCAAAGCACAACAAGAAATATCCACGCGTTTGTCGCCAGCTGGTATAGCTTGCCCGAATGGCAGAGCCAACAAAAGATTGAGAAAACAGGATGCCCTTCCTAGTAGAACCTGCTGAGACTGTGGTGAGCCTAAAAAGAAGGCTCTCAGTACAGGTATTTATAAGCGCAGGTGGGCAGCCTACCGTGAGAGTACCTCAACAAAATGAACTCTGGAGTGCCTGGCAAGGTTATAGTATCAAGCAAGGATACGAGCTTTGCCGGAATTTACCTGCTAGCGGAGAATCCGACATAACGGCCCCACGGAGATGCGGGTCGGAACGGCCAAAAACCCCCCACCGGATCCCAATTATTCGCCATCGCCCCTGGCCGGTATCAAGATAAAACTCTCGGTAGTGGGTCCTAAATTGAATTTTTGGAGGGTCAAATGCGCTTTGAAACGGTACACTTGGTTAATGGTTTCGATCACAGAGCTAACACTACAACGTTGCGTTGAAAATCTAGACGATCTGGGCGCAAGACAAAGCCGTCGAGCTACTTTATTGAAGAAATACCTAGGTAGACGGATTCTTTAGAGTCAATTGCAAAGAATTGAAAACTCCGAATTTGCTAAAACTCGCGCATTCGATAGTAGGGTGCATTACCGTGGTGGGCTCAGTCATTGCGGGTGCAAGCATATTGGGTGAAGCCTGCGCCCCCATTTAACAAACGCAAGGAAACTTATCAAGTGCACGTGGCTAATGTGACCCAATCTGCACTTGAAGAAAATTTGGTTTTGTCTAGAACGGGCCCAGTTCTAATGGATTACGAAGCCAGTGAGAGACTTATAGCCTGGACACTCGAGACATTATCTCCACAACTTATTGCCAGCTCATCAGTGCGTTTGATACCCTCATTTTATCCTATTTCCAGAACTGATTGGCGTGGCACGGATCTCGTTGGGCGTTTTCGCGGCCTTGTATTCCAATGCATGGGAAATGAAGGACAGGTCCTATTTAGCTCGCACAGAGTTCAGCCAGAACTTTCTTGAGAGCGACAATCTCCTCCTCATTAATTCCACTATGTGAAGATGGAAGTCAACAGACCTTCTTTGGCGACTTTCGGTGCCGTCGGGAAAAGGGTTGGGACGTGGATAACCGAGAAAGAACGCTCTTCCTGATATTAGAGAACATCTTTAAGGTTTGGAGAACAACGTCCTGTTGCGATTAAGTACTATACCTAGCAGAGATATTGTGATCATCTCCATATTCTTTGTCTTAAATTCACAGGAAGAGTAGTAAACCAAATAGGAAGTGGTGAACACACTTCACCCCCGAGCCAGCTCTGCTGGTTATAATTTAAGCTAAGGAAATTAAGAGGTCCAGAAAACCTTAAGTTGGCCGCTAATGTATTTTACCCAGCCACGCGCTAGAGACGGTACGGAGTCCGGACTCTATTTACGGTTAAACTTTAACCTGCAGGGTAAGATTTGATCCTTCGATTTCTGAACAATTTCTTTGGGGCGCCTTCTGTCGGTGTGTCCGAGTAGTTCCTCCTTTCATTTTATTTAATTTTCACTCTGCCATCTCGGCGAGCATGTCTCTGCCATAAATACTCCAAGGCCGCCCATCGGCCATTGGTGGTCAAAATACCAACGTTCTCATATGCGAAACATTCCAAGCTCTTTCGACTCTTTCGCTGGCAAGGATGCTGTTTTCTAAACTTTCCCTTCTTTTCGCAGGGCTTGGCCCCAGCGTGTTCGTTGCTGCTAGCCTGATGCAGCCTCGGGAGGCCGGGCTTGAGGTCACCAGTGTCACGTACAAAGGTTCAGGCTGTCCTCAAGGAAGCTTGACTGGAGTGTTTGAGCCGGCCACTAATTCCTTCAATGTTACGGTCCAAGGGCTAAGGGCTGAGCTTGGTAAATTAACTGACAATGTTTATTTTTCCGCATTGCTGATACATGTTGGCTGCCATAGAAAAGGACAAGGGCGGTGATCATGCGCGTTGCCACATTGTAGTTGGTCTTCGCACAAGTGCCTCAAGACAAATCAACGTCCTTCGGTATGCTCACTCACTTGGCAAGCACAAGATTCCCTCGTGGTATGAAGTAGTTAATTGACAATGATATCTTTAGCGGCGACTTCCATGGCCATGTCTATCTTCAGAAGGGCATGACAGCGTACGAGAAGAACACGTATAGTTTTGCCGGCAGCCCGGGTACAACTGAAATGAAGTGGCCATTCACTGGCCCAGTGAATCTGGACACTGTCTTTACGAATACCATGAATACAACGCTTGTGTCCCAATGTGGCGGCGACTTCACCCTTCAAATCGACAATGAGCTTATTCTGAGGCGTGGCAATGCAACGAAAGACGCCGAAGGATACATTAACGTATCTAGTCTTACTGGTAACCTTGGCAACACCATCGTGCTTGAGCAGAAAGAGTGCACCAACTAAATCCGTGCACATGTTTCAACCTGGGTATCTGCGTGAGGTGCTACATCTGTTGAACAGTGAATGGGACAACTTTCGAAATGGCTGATACACGCGGGTGACTCTAGAAGCAAAGGCTTGCGGCTACTAAAGCTTACCTCAGAGAGTGGGGCGCGAAAGAAGTTTGATTGAGGGGGATCAGGCCGGTCTAGGTTTGGGACTTGACTTATTATCGCTTACACTCATATATTCGGCCGTGTATCTAAATATTTCAATGACATAAACCAAGTTTCTGTGAGCAGATGGTGAAACTGATTTCGATCCATCCTGTACTTCTACCATGGCCATAGCTCGTGAGCTTTAACTGTTTAGATATTAACCAAGGAAGCTTTACATAGAGCGAGAACCAGCGTCACCATTTTACACTCCTTTAAACGACTGTCCTAGCGGAGGGACCTAGAACTAGAAAAGTACAGGATAGTGATAGAGAAAACCTAGTTCCTATACACAGGCAACATAAGAGCTGAGAAATGGTACGCGACGAAGGAATTCAAGCAGACATGTAATCCTTCGCGTAGATGTATTTCTACAGGTTGGTAGGCCCGCCCGCTTATCAGCCCTTTGAAGCCTCGCTGTCATTCTGCCCTCAAAAAGCAAGTAGACCAAAATAAATGTTCTTTCGCCGTGTCCCTTGTATAATTCGTAGAGCATCTATTCATTTCAATTCCTAAACTACGCGTCTTTTGGTTAACTTATTATCGCCAGTGACTCAGACCGTGGTTTATCATCCAATTGCCCGGCGCGTGTCCGTTGAGAATGCCTCAGGTTACATTCCCCGTATGATAACCACAAAACCTACATTTATTTACAGTGCCTGGCTCATGGTTTTATCTTTCCCAGTGAACTGAAAATTTGGACGACAGAGAGAAGGACAGCAATGCAATTGAGTCAAGTTATATGGGGTGTTCTGAGAGATTTATGCTGCTTTATCGGTTGTGATTCGGTTCTGCATCTATCGCTCCAGTCGGGGAGTAGTAGTAGCCTGTATTGTAGCTATGCTTTATTTTCCAATTTGAGCGCTTCCCTTGAAGACTTCCATCGATATGATATATTGGAGACCTTTTCCCAATCCGACGAAACAAGAATAAGGGAACTGTCATTTTCGGAGGTTTGGGCCATGGTGATTGAATACGCCCTTTAGAGTTGTTGGTTAGTTTGTGCATTTTATCTTCATCCCAGGGATTGACCTTACTTATAATATGACACCTCTTGGGTTTCTCGACGGTCTGCGAGCTCGACTACAAATAGCTCACCGATCACGGGAGCCCGGGTAATGCAAATACCAATGGCAGGGTCACGAGATATCTTATTACTTTGAGAACCCGCCAAAATAAGTTCCGATTCGCAAACCTTTGTTCAAGCGACTGCCTGCTTGTCCTAGCTCATTTTTCAGTGACAATTTTCTTCATTATCGCTTGCACCGAGGAAACACATACAACAGATTGCCCTGTTGAGAGTAAGAAGCTACGTCGACGGAGAAACCGCGCTTCAGATTTGCAAGTTGAGGCTGGTCTGTATGCAAATCCCTGCAGAGGTATTCAACCTCTAGCACGCGAACGTAAAGTGGTGCTCAGACGGGCGTCGTCCCATTGGAGTGCTGCCTCCAGAGTCAAGCAAAAAATTAGTTCTCTAGGGGTAATTTGGTCTGAAATCATTTCTATATGGCCTTCAACGCCAGAACTTAGAAGATGAACCTTTCCTTGTTTTATGCACACTTTCTGTCTCTGTCCGTATAATCAACAACTAGATATTCATAGCGGTATCCAGATACAAACATGCACATCTTCTTCA